TAAGCAAAAGAAATCTCTTATGACCTGAAAACGGGCCAGATTTTTGAAATTTTTTCAAGACTTAAGGATGCTTTTTCCATAGCGCAAAAATTCAAAGTAATTTCAATTTCATGAAAAAAATTCATTCCAAAAAATTCAGAGACGGAGATAGGGACTTGATTTAAAGGAAGGAAATTAAAAATTTTTTTTAATCTCACCGAAGGGGGGCCTATGTAGGGACAGAAAAGCATAAGTAGACACAGCCAATGCTTCTGGAGAGAAAAACGACGGTACTCAGCAATCAACGAAAAAACGAACACATGGTATCTACAAGTGAAAGGAAAATTATCAAATGGTTGTAGAATTTCTTGGAGTGTTATACAATTGACGGAATTTATGAGTTGGAGGACGTTAAAGTCGTCAGTAGAGCGAAGCGTCGCTATGACGTCATTTCTACGCACCGCGTACGCGCGCCGGAGTTCGCAGTTACAGTAACCACGAGTACGATTTCTCTAGATCGTCGATCAGTACTGGCTCGCTATAAAAAGTTATTAAATACAGCGTGAACGCTGATTAAAATGATTTCTGTGGAAGACGCAGCGCGCACACGCACCGCGTCAACGCGACGCTCGCTTGTAGGGAACTTACTCCGCTAGGAATGAAATGGAAATTACTGATGATTCTCCAAATTCCTTACAAAATTCTATTTATTTCAGATATTTCTACAGCAAAAGCCTCAAGAATTGTATGCTTTTTACATACTATGGACGGGATGGTAATGCGAACAATTTCGCCACATACAATGAATGTAAGAAGATGTGCATGACGTAGTGCATAGTATTGATGAACAGAATTTTAGATATACCATATGATGTAAATACAACAAGTAAAGAAAGTAAATAAATTGGCAAGTTTATTAGTGCAAGCATGAAAGGAAACTGTACGATAGATACAGTAATCTACGCAGAGAAAATTGATCAAAAGGAATACTGTAGCATTGTGGCATCATGTGTTGAATGGTGGAGGAATGTGTTGGAAATGGACCTGAAATTGAAAATAATTATATCATATCTTTTCAATCTGTGATACGGTAACATGGGATCATTTTTGCGAATCGATATATCGATTAGTTTTATTTAGATGCCCATACCGTGCCAAATGAGATCGAATGACTCAAAGAGTGCTGCGCTTTTTTATATACCTGTGAACCGACGCCACTAAGGGGCGGGCAAACCTGAGAGGGCGGGTATTCCTTAGCCCTCGAATTCACCATGCCTTCCGCAAAGCTTTCTTTCGCAATAATACTACATTGCCACACAAGTAACCTTCCAGAAGGTTGCCTGCAGATCAACATTCCATCTTTTGATGGGATCTGAATCTCGGCAAAAGAGCCAATGACACCATGCATAGCCCATTATTGGATCCCAGTTCCGATGTCGTTCTTACCAGCCAAGTCTATGTCTTCTTCTTGGGTACCCTAACCACACAAAATTCGTTCGGGATGAGAAAAAAGTTTATAGAAAGTCACAATCGTATTCCATCACATTTCTGAATGGTGGATGAGTTCACAGCGCATCCCAGAGTTGGTCATTTTGCAAAATGACTCACTCGCTTGTTATTCGCAAAAAATGATTCTCTGTTAGCTATGTTAAGGTGAGCACGTGAGATCAATGTTTTTTTTTCGAAAAATAGATGAGCGACCAAAATCAATCAGTGTCTCGGCCAACCAAGCTTTCCTTCCCTTACCACGGGTTGGTTAACTGGTACCAGACTCGTCTGGGAAGATAAAAGCACCGATACGTATATCGGCTGGCCACTACAAGCCATTTTGTGGGCCACATACATTTAAAACGTCACTACGATTCTGATCCGAAGTCAAATGCAGGGCGCAGCCCATAAACGACTAAATCAGCACCAAAATACTATTCCCCAATATCGCATGACCGAGTCTTTTCGTTTTGCCTCATGGAAATGAAATTCATTGGTGCAATTTAGACCTACTCAACCGCAAATGCAAGTAAATATACCATATAGATAAACAACACGAAAATGATTGAGAAAATATATCGACTGAACGACCCTCATACACCCCTCAGAACGTTCAGTCTTTTAGAATAACAGTTCGAGATAAAGTATCATCCGTTTATCAGAGCCTAGGTCGCCTCGTTCCGTTACTTGTATTCTTTGTGAAACCGGAATTTTTTACGAAGCAACTGAACGAAGAAAATTATTCAAGCTGTCGATGCTTGTCGGCACGTTCATTCAGAAGAGGGAAGGGACAAATAAATGGTTTACAATCCGTCAAGCCTGTCGATAAACAGAAAGAGCTCTTCACTCTTTTTTGACCAGTACTCAATTGCTTTGTGCCAACGTGCCAACTTCTCAGGTAGCCGCTTTTGGTCAATATAAAGGATATACCAATGGATGGATGATGGTACTTACGCTGGACCATTTCCACAACCCTGAGGAACAGCCCAACCTCGCTTACCCAGAAGCCTACCCAGAACCTACCTTTACTGTCATTCAAAAGCCGGCCCAATCTAGCATAACTGATTGGTGCCGACCAGACACAATGTTTTCATTCCTAGGACAGGACCAGAACTTTCAATAATGTTCTTCAAGCTTTTATTTCAATGTTTACCTGTATGAGGCTTCGTACATAAGGTTAGGTAACCGCTGCGTCAATTACTGTTGTCCAAATCGGTTTAGTAACCTGATATCATTGGACGCGCCAGGTAGTTGAGCGTATGTGAACTCGAGCCAAAGGTCATTGATTTGGTCCCATACGGTTGTTACTGTAACCATTGTTTGTGTACTCCTTAGGTTGCAAAGCTCCTCATCCAAGCTATCTAGCCAGCCAAATCTACACCCTATTGAACAGTTTGAGAGATTCACTAAAACATGGAGTTGGTATGACCGCTTCGTATCACTGTTAAAAGTTTTCATGGGGAACCGTTCAAACAACAAGGTGGACAGGAGCCTTCGACAATTTCCGATGGCTTTCAGTGCAGAGCTGCTACGTACTGGGGTACGACCACCAGAACGGTAGGCAATCTAAACACGCCGAAACTTCTTTATGAACGTTCGGATGAGAGCTATGATGCATCCCTCAGGCGAGGAACATCCGATGAACTTCAGCAATGGGAACAAATGAAGAAGTTACTGACACCCTGTCGAAGAGTTCGATCACCGAAGTGATAAGAGACAACGAGAGTTATCTCTAGCGCTATGCCAACTTCTTGGTTACCTACCATAAGCTCTCGAACTTGAATACCCTACTCGAAAGGGGGTAGCCTCCCTGCTTACTGGGTCGTTTCCCATAAAAATGTCCAGCCTCCAATCCATAGATCGTTCCATCGTTCGCACGGTCTCACGTCAGTTTAGTCGCTACCTCCTCACCCTCTCTACCCAATGTGGGGAAGCCCAACGCTACAAATGCACGGTAGATCGAGCAGTCTAGAAATTGAAGGAGAAACTTCTCCGCGAGACGATGAGACCACAAGTAAACACAATGGTCATCAGTTCAACTTCAAATTGGAAGCTTCTCGAAAATTTCTTCAAAACATATTGAACAAGGATCACACCTCAAAGGCATCTATAAATGTGTAGGATACTATGACCATTACGAGTAACTCACGGGATTCTGATGATATGGCATAAACATCGGATACTGCCCATAACATGTCGTCTGAGGAGGGAAGAAATTCGCAAAGGCGGTACTTGGAGTCCATGCTGGAAGTAGAACGAGTATTGGATCAAAAACAACAAAAATAAATAAATAAACAATCGCCAACGGACAAATAGCAGAATTCCGACAAATAAGCTGATCACCATCAACCATCGCTATTTTTGAGGTAAAAAGCGGTAATTTCTCATGAAGATCGACTATTTTCGTTAGTTGGAGTTCTTCAAACTAACTGCCCCCTATGCCCCTACAATGTAATGAGAGCTCTCAATTTCATTCCCAAGAGCATTGGGCGAATGTGGCATTACCTCCGTATGGGTCGGTGGTTCGATGTGTGACTTAATCTACCCAAATCTTCCGACCGACCAACCAACCGACCAAGGTGGATAAAATGACCCGAACCCTTCCCCATAAAGATGGTCACACTGATTTGTTCCAATTTATCTCACAATTCCTTATGTCGAGCAACACCTTCATAGAACTACAAACTCCAAAAGATGTCAATCACTAGGAGCATCCTAAACAATCTGACCTAACGACCTACTTCAATCTTTGCTTGAAAAACAGATGGCTGCTTACTTATTGTGAAACATGTTTTCATCTTTCTGGAGCAGCGTCACAAACAACTTTCTAAAACAACAACTCGATAAACAAAAACTTACTGAATATTGTATTTTCCTTGGGTGTCGAAGTGGTAGGTAACGGAGGAGAAGATTTTTCGTCGCCACCTTGATTTCTCATATGTTTTCGTTGCTTTGCACGACGATTCTTGAACCATACCTGAACCATATGTTCTACAGTTTTTCACTGGAACTCATGTAATTTCTCACAGATATGTCTATTTTTGTTTAAGAGCGCAAGGGTGGGAGATGGCAGTAGGAACGGCTGTCTGTAATCGATTCGCAGCACGCTGCTGTCATGGACCATTCGTTCACCATCATTACAGCTCTAACGTTCTTCATACAGCTCAACCTATATGGGATCCTTATTTTAGTCATGATTCTACTGTTAGTTCCTTTGTTCCTGTATTTCTTACCTGCTGCCGCTTTCTGCTATATCCCTTCGTGCTCGACGTCCCCCTCGCCGCGACGCGACAATTTCGTTCCTACTGCATCACACCCCGCATGGATTAGGATGCACCACATGCGGAACCACATGCATAGGCCTCTTACAGGCAGTTCTCATTCGTTTATGTCTGGCCCTCCACCTTCCCCTATGAAAGCGTTTTGGCCTTCCACCCTACTGAGTCGGTTTATTGAAGCTAAACTTGTCTGGTAAGATAAAAGCAGCAACTTTTACCGCATCATTTACATTCAGTGATTAGTCAAACTAGTCTAAATTGAGGATTTTAGGAAGAAAGAAATGAATACGGTGGTTTCGCTACTAGCACATATTTGGAGAGGTACGACAATGGGGTCAAGCGCGGTGACGAGAAAGTAAGAATACTACACTGTAATCGACTGTATACCCTTCCTTTTCCCGACCCTATCCTCGAGTTCAACCCTCTTCTCCACGGTCTTGTCGAAAGCTCCTTGGCAAACGCTGGTTCCTGTTAAATGGCCTGAAGATTTAAAAGGAATGACCTAACGAGAAAGATACGATAAGTTGAAGAACACCAAGACAGGGAAGAAAAGCAAAGTGAGGGACGATCAGGAGACCACCATAAAAGGAAAAGCAGAAGGAATGGGAATGAGCTATAAGTAGATCAGAACTGTTCCTCAGCTTTGTGCGAGATAGTAATGAACCCTGCTGGAACTTTTCTTTTCGATAATACCCCGAACATTCCGTAATTTTCGCTTTGTTATCGACTAACTGACTTCATTTTTACTGTCAGAAAGCTTTCATCCAGGTTCACTGTACGGCATCTACACAATTGTCGGTTTTCTTACCTAAATGGTTTATACCCATTCTGTTTCTACCAATCGACCCCAAGCGTACGGAAGGACCAGGGGAGGCCTCCAGACTCTCTTCATTTACCCTGTGTTCCACAGGCAGGTGTCAATGACTGGTTAGCTTACGGTAGGTCGATACGTTGAACGTATTTGCATAGCGATTTAGCGGCAATGGCACGACATGACGGTGACTGTTTGAAGTGCGCAATGAGGCAGAAGAAGATAGGAAGTACACGGATTAGAAGGGCAGCATCTGTTCTCACTAAACGAATCTCTCAGTGTTACACGGTGATTATCGTTTTGGTGGTACCGAAAAAGGGATCCCGTACCTTCCTCAAAAACTAATCCCCATATATCTGTCAACTTCTATGACCTCTTAGCCCTGGGAGAGAATTGGGTCGGCGAGAGCTAAAAAGTTAGGGCTCGAAGTATCGGGCCCTAACTGTCTAAGCTGGAAACATCGATGGGGATTCTTCAACTGAAGCATTGAAAAAGCGGAGGGTACTGAATTTGCACGCACAGCGGCAATACATTGCTTACAGAACCATACAGCTGTCTAAACACAATCTGGCATTACCGTATTCCTCACCGTATGACAACAGCACCATCGATCGCTACTAGTTAAAACTGACTACAGTCAAATACTTCTAGGCAAATAAAATCAGACCTCAGAGCTCAGAGCTGGTAGACCTAACTACTAACAATTAAANCAGAACCATACAGCTGTCTAAACACAATCTGGCATTACCGTATTCCTCACCGTATGACAACAGCATCATCGATCGCTACTAGTTAAAAACTGACTACAGTCAAATACTTTTGAGCAAATAAAATCAGACCTCAGAGCTCAGAGCTGGTAGACCTAACTACTAACAATTAAACACTAATTACCAGTTACTGATTATGACAAATAAGCTTGTTGCCTACAATCCGAAATGACGACGAGGTTGAGGTTGCCTTGGATATTATCAAAAAGGGGTAGGAGGGATGGTAGGGGAAGAAGAGAGGTGTAGCGGATGAAAGCGTGAGATTTGGAAACATCGGATCTCTATTCGTCATATAAATGACTTGAGTTTTAACCCAATCGAGTAAGTCGTATATAAATCTTCATGTTGGTGAAAACCCAAGTTTTCCCTGCGAAGGATTTCCGTATTAAAGGATCATCCCAAGTAAACCCTCTAAAATACCGATTGTAGGACACTGTTCCAGCTCAATCCTGGCTCAACTAAACTATCCATCGATTTGGAGCTGGTTCAGTAGTACCAAACTCGCCTAGGAAGGTTAAAGGCACTCACATTGACTTTGGCTGGTTACCGTATGTTGTATGTATAATTCCAATAAAGGTACACACCGCTACCCGATTTTGACCCCGTAGGCCATCCCACTGATTCAATTGTCACCAAAGACAACCCTTTTTATTTTGGCAATAGAGGTTCCATAAAAATCGCTTTTTAGCGGACAGTCCCACTCGGCCTGAGAGGATCGTGGTAACCAATTCAGTGATTTTACAAGCGCGCTATTCAAGTTAGCCACTACGATTCCCCTTAGAAAACAGAAGCACTGCGCAATCTGGAATAAAGTAATGTTAGACTACGTCTGACACCGATCCTCTCGATTTTCACTATATAATCGACCCATTAGATATATCGACACTGCTCATACGAAATTCTCGATGAAAACATGTCTTTGCTTTTGTCAAACCGGCTTATAAGTTATCTCATCAGAAAAGAATGATAGCACAACAGTCAACAGTCGAGAGCTGTACAGCTCAGGAAAAGACTGCAATATCCGCCTTTCTACTCAGTGAAACTTTGCCTTTTCCCTTTCTGTTCATGAAGGAGCAATCGAAGAACAATGAAGAATTACCTGAATCCTAGCTTCTGGAAGTTGAGTCAGTTTAGCAAGTCTCTCTCGTTGAGCGATATCCGGATATTGACATTGATCGAAGGTTTTTTCAAGTTGATCCAATTGTTCATCACTGAATGCTGTGCGATTCCGTCGCATTCGTCTGTCCGGTGACGGTGATGCATCTCCTTCTGAAGTATTTGCATTAAAAGAAGCGTCCCCACTAAGATTTAATGAAAGATAGTGTAGATGAAACGAATAAAACCCTTTTCTCTCTTCCAACCCCCATCCCCCCCCCCATCTCCCTCCAACCTGGATCTCTAAAACACAAAAGCCAATTATACGAGTTTTACAAGTTTGGGTAGGTCTGTGGTTACTGTAGTCCTACCTAGAAAAGGCGACAAGCCATGCCCAGACTGTGCGCTGAGATTATTTCCATCCTGTTCCCGAAGAACCCCAATCACCCTTGGAAGTCTCTAACAAAAGCCAGTCAGTATCTTCTGCACTCCTTCAAAAAAGACCTGAAGCATTACGTTTACGAAATGGGAGTACTACAATCCGTCACACATTTACTTTTTAGTAGAAAATAAAAAGATGCATGGCCGAGGCTGATCCATCCAGTTGGTTTCCAAGACTTAACTCACCATTAGTTCGTGCTTCTTGGGAGAATCCCTCAAATGGATACTGAAGCTGCATCATTGTGGCGAGTACGAGCTGCTGATGGCTGTCCATCATCGCTTCGCACCGCCCTTCATGACTTGACGGCACGTTCGCCATTGGTTGGCGACTTCTGGAGGACTCCGCCCGCACAGTTGTGATTGCTCTGCACGAGCAAATATCGGTTATCGTCGGCTAAGCCGTAGTTGACGAGAGGATTAGACGTACGGATCAGCTGTACCAATGCTAATTTCCGGTCGGGAATTAGTCGACCCGTCTTCAGTTACCGTATGCGCGCATATATTTTTAGTAAACTAATACTACGGAAATCAGAATAGAATAAATTGAACTCGATCTCCGCTTTGAATTTACCAAATTCCCTGAATCTCTACGTGAGGTAGTCCCGGGGTTGGGACTACCTCACCGTAGAGATTCGGGGAATTTGGTAAATTACTACTCCAATTTGACTCATTTTTACAAAATAAACCCAAAAACGACGAAATTCCTACATCATTAACTTTCGTACTTCAAAAAAATTATCGGAATAGCTACTATTAGCAACCCTCGTCGAATTTACGGTATAAATCAAAATTTAGCTTAACAATGAAGAATAGGGAGTGGTGGTGATATGGATGGAAAGGGAGCATGTCTCAAGGTGAACCCGATGAGCCGACAGGTTTATCTGACAACTCTTCGACCACCATTTCGGGGCTGAACTGAACCAATCTGGTTACTTGCGCCACTATTGCTAAACCTGCGTTCATAGTCAGTACACTCGCCATCAGCTCTTTAGATGAACCCGAATCAGCCAGACGATTGGCCTCAACTCTCGAGCGGTGGGGTAAGCTAGGGATGGGTAGTATGAGTGTCAAAAATAAGCAATCACTAAAGAAACCCGGCAAGGGGCTTACCTCCCGAATGGGAAAACTGAAGTTATGTACAAAAATTAAGTATGTAGTGGTCAGCTACAGATAAGAGAGTATTTTCGCCTCCCCGCTCCTTCTTAACAGAACCTAACACTGCTACGTTTGATACTAACACCCTCCCTCTTTCTGGATAGTGTAAATAACGGAAAATCAGTGTAAAGTCAGTACAAAGCTTCAAACAAAAAGATCCTAGATACTTATTGTAGATACTAGTATCTATTTATAATAGTTTTTATGTCTCTATACCAAAATTCTCCCCTTAATTGGAAAGCTTTTAGAAAAAAAATACTTTCGTGACGGCTCCCTTCATTACCAACTGATGCGAAGCGCACACAGCTGGCACTGCCTCTTTTAATAATATTAATAAGTGATTACCAGTCCTTATAGTAGAAATGCGTCAAAAGGCGCTTTCAACCCAATAACCCAATAATATCGTTGGCACTTCGTTAGCACTATACCGGCGACAGCCTCTTAAAAAGCATCAAAGCAGCCAGCCAAGGTCATTATCCACTCATGGTCTCCATTTGGGGTAAATCGAGATCGTGGAGGAGGTCCCTTCCCACAGCATTGAATGGATAAGCTCTATATCGCAACATGAACACCTATACCATGAATAAATCATCGGAAATCCTTCAAAAAAAGGAGAGGAGTCATGACAAAATGGTGATCAGCCATATTTCGAGTGTCATGACGCTGCTCTTTCACATTTCGGGCATCTCAACCCGACCAGAACAAGCAAGCCTTCGAACAGTGCCTAAAGAATGACGTTGCCCAGATACGCTCACAAAACATCTACGATTCTAAATGAAGTTGAATGACTGGTGCATTCCAGAACGTTTGGACAAAACTGATCAGATGGCTCAGATCAGAAGGAACTCACAGCAAGAAATCGCACTACAACTTCATACCAACGACACAGGGATAGCCCAAAACCCAGGACTAATTGTGAAGATTAGAAAATCTTGAAATCTGAAATGAAATCTCGAACAATCTCTCCATCCACTCTTCTAGCATCTCGAAAATGTCCCAATTGGCACGGAATGATGGTAAAGACCACGCTTAGGAAATGGTTTTGCCACCGGACTGTCATTACGCCAAAAATTCGGTATCCCATCTGATAATATGACACTTTACAACAACCGTCGGTATAGAGATCCCTTTCCCACGAACTGAGTGAACCAGTTGGTTGGGCCTGCCCAATCGCCTAAGTAAAAGCATTACTGTGGCAAAGAGAAGTCAAGTTAACGCCATTTATTTTGTAGATAGGGAAACGACGTCAGGCTGACGATGGGAGAGAAAGCGGATAACTGACTGATTCTGCTAAGCGCTTCATCGGCCTCGGTCGTTGTGTCGACGATGAGACGAGAACAGCTTTGCAAACATATTAATCGTGTGCTGAATCGGTGTTGGGCAAATCCGTGTTCGGCTAGTGTTTCACCCCCACTTATGATCATCATCACCAGCAACAGCAGCAGTCAACTACACAGTGAACAAATACACGATGAGAGTCGAGTGCAATGTCGGATCTGTTTGATATGCTGCTTATTCGGGGAGGAAGTCGAAGAGCTCGAATGAGGCATGTCAATCGCCGGCACATAGACAAACATAAAGAAACCTCGTGTCGACATCAAGGGTACATCGAAGAGGGTCACGTCAGCAAGTAGCTACTGTATCCACAAAAGCTAACAGGATAAAAAATCCCATATGGGGGAGGACAGGTCGGATGGCGACGAATTTCGAAGGTCTCAGAACTCAGAATTAAAATGTAATAGAAAATGTTATATGCTCACCCTAAGATTGCCAGCTCGCCAATGCTGAGACAGTTTCAGTAGCCAGCACTTGACTGGCCCAAAGGTCAAAATCGATGAAAACCAAATGATTCCATTATTCACGGCGGCTTGTTCGGTCTGGGCGAGCACAGAGATGAGACCTATCTCCGGACGAGTCGTGGTGTGGCATTGCGCTACTTTCTTCGACACCGCCTCCACCGAAATGTAAGTTAAAATAAACAGAGGTATTTCACCAAATTTTTGATGCTCCAACATACCTTCGGGCCATAACCCATAGACCATGAGAAGGAGTGTTCCTCTCATGCGGCGCTATTCGATGGAGAACAACTGCATCACAGCTGAGTAAGTCGAAGCACATAAAACCAAAAAAAGACAATTTGGGGAAAATGTTTGCTAGCTCAACTGCATGATTCTCGCATACCTAGGTATAACCATACCTTGGTATAACCCATAAACCACAAAATTAAATCCGTATTTTGTAGTCTGTGTATGTTGTAATGACGACAAGCACATCTGACAGTCTCCGATTACGTCTAGAAGGTCGGGCAGGAATGTGGTTCATCTGACAATCCATTAATCGATATATAATAAATTGAGAAAAATGCAATATGTACTATGTAATCCAGAGAGGATGCCTCCGACTGATGGCTTCATTAATTTTATCGTACATGAGCTATATAACAATTGTGACGCATATTTATTGGAGAAATCATAAAAACCTAATAAATTATACAAGTCGCAGAAATCCAACTGAAAATTAATGTTTGCGTACTTAACCGTATCACTGTTACATCGACTATTTCAATCAAGAAAACGCGAGTACAAAAATTACAAAAATGCGATTTTTAAAAAAACTCCATATTACTCATTCATATCACATATCAGTTGCCGCTTTCTCAAAACATTTTCGACAGCGGCAATAAGCTCGTCTCCCGGACAGAGATTTCAACCAGTCTCTCGAAGGAGTCGTTGCATGAACACCCGGGAACGTCACCAGCGCTTCCAGAAGAATGTTTTTTTCGTTGTTAGAAGGCATGTCCAGATCACAACGGTAGCGAGGCTTGATCACTAGTTACCTTCGTGGATTTATTATTGCCTGCTGGTTCTGTTTTGAGAAAACTTAAGCATAGAATAGAGCTACGTGCAATATATCTGGAAAAGTATCAACCGAAAACATGGTCGCCTAACATTTTCACTCCATTAGCTGCTGCTGCCTGCTTTCGAATCCACTCAGGTCGTAGTGAGAGGGCATGATCCACCGTGCGCTTATAGGACATATAACTCTGAACAAAATAATAAACGGTGAAATAATCTACAAGTTCTCTTTTTCTTGAACCTCGACATAGTTTTTACGACTGAAATATTCTCTCGTCGTACGAGGCTTTTAGGTGAAACAATTTATTAAGTCAACGACTCAACGTTTCAACGCTGTCGTCTCTTCAGAGGCTAAAGTTCCACCGCTGAAGCGGGCAAAAAACCGCTGCCGTCACGGCGGCACTGAGAAGAGAAGCCCATAAGTTGTTACACCTAAAAACCTCACGGGGCAATAAGATACTCGTACTAATAAATGGTAATTTGGCAGTGGAAAAATCATCAATGCCAAACATGGTCTGAACCAGTCACCGTCTTATACTTAAAATTACAGTATAATCCCACTTTCACCTATAGAAATTTGTTTCACAACCGCTTGCATTTCGCCGCTAAATTTGACGAGCTCCCTAAGCCTCAAGCATTCCCGAGTGACGAAATCCATNACCTAAAAACCTCACGGGGCAATAAGATACTCGTACTAATAAATGGTAATTTGGCAGTGGAAAAATCATCAATGCCGATCATGGTCTGAACCAGTCACCGTCTTATACTTCCAATCTCCCTGTCTTCAGACCTCCCATAAAATTATTCACAACCGCTTGCATTTCGCCGCTAAATTTGACGAGCTCCCTAAGCCTCAAGCATTCCCGAGTGACGAAATCCATTCCTTGCAAGGGGTTGACTTTATCGAGGATGGCACCAGTTCTTTCCAACTTGTGCAGCCACCCCACACTTGGACATTCACAACGGTGGATATTATTAGTAAAAAGGGCGATGCTCAACACGCTCAAAGGGACAACTAGCCAGACCCATTCATTGGGGAGATCGAGCATCAGCCACATGTCACAAAAATATATGGCTCTACATGAAAAATTTCTTACCTCTTCAAATTCATTGCCAAGGTGAGCCGACAGGATAAGCCGACAAAGAATGGCCTGAGGAAAGTCGTACTCGACTCTATCTTCACCAATCACATCGTAGCATTCCGACGTCTAAGTTGTACCGTTAAACATAAAAACATGGAGAAGATTGGAGCATTAGAATCACAGAA